TTAATTTTGCTAACGTGACACATCAAGTAGGTCGTGCCCTCTGTTAATTATGTGGCACATCATTTTCTTTTTAAAATTACTTAACTTTCACCTAAGTTGATATAAACTCAAAAGGCGTCTAATCAGTATTAAACAGAAGGCGTTGGCATGCTTGACGTGCCACATCAGCAGGAATTAATAGAGCCGTTAGTCAATGACGAAAAACGTTGGCTAGATGAAATTCGAACATTTTTGGGTCAAGATATCTTCTTATATATGAATTTTATTTCAATTATCTTTTCAACGTATTTTGAAGCGTCTCAATCAGACATCCAAAACTCAACGTATATATATTTTAACAAAAATAACAATGTCTAACTCTTTTTGTCATCTTAACTCCTCGATGTCCCATTAACACATTTCAAGATATATTAGAAAGATAAGTGACAATCGATTGTATTGTAAGAATATATCTCGATCCATAAAATTTTGAATTTCTTCTAAAATCCATCATAGATTTTTTTATTAATCTGGAGTAAGTACAATGCATAACTGTTCTAAAATAACTTTGAACATCTTAACATTGAACGCTCACACTCCTGACGTTCTCGATGCTTAAAACCAGGTCTCAAGGAACAATAACATTTCCTTTATCACGGAGACCACTCGATTCGTGCAAAAAAATCCATCATAGATAAATATATGATATTTTACGCTTGAATAACATGTTCTATTTTCCATGATGTACAACTGCCCATTTCAGTTGGAAATTTACATTTAAAATCAACAACTAATTCATTTTTTAATTTATATGAATGTTTGTATTAAATTTACTATATGTATATATATATTTTAATTTTATTTTCCGTTTTTATATGATAAATTTATTTATATTTAGAATTAAACATATGTATATTAATTTATAATCATAATAACTATTATTTATATAAGAAAGAATTCAAATTTAAAGAGTCAAAATTTAATCCTTACTAACTTATATTTATAATCATAATAACTATTATTTATTTATATTTATTATGTCTGCAGAGTATATGTGTTGTAAATGATTAAAAATATTATGAACAAATATTACTTTATAATTATTTCAAATTATTTAAAAAAACTTAGTAATTTAAAAAAAACTAAAAATTATGACAAATGGTGAACTAAAATCATGGCCAAGCCAAGCTAGTCTTATAGATAAATTACGTGTTTAGTATATAAACTATCAGTTTTGGTTCATTTTAGTACCTAAACTTTTAATTTTTTAAAAAACAACACCTAAAGTTTAGTTTTTGTTTCATTTTAGTATCCCGCCATTAAAAACTTTAGTTTTTGTTTCATTTTAGTATCATGGGTTCAAAATTGAACGTTAAGTTTTGAAAAAAAATTAAAATTTTAGGTATTAAAACAGGCTAAAACTTTTAACGACGATATACTAAAATGAAATAAAAGCTAAACATTAAACATAATTTTAAAAATTGAAAGTTTATAGGTACTAAAATGTTCCAAAACTAATAATTTATGTATGAAATGTGTAATCTACCCTCTTATTATTATGTTCATGAAATTTGGTCCTCACATTCCAAATGGAGGAACTACAACCCTTTTAATTTAATGCACAATTTCCTAACTTTGGGTTTGCCTCCAATTTTTTTTCTTAAATATATATTTGAAATTTTAAAGAATAGATGATAGATATGTTGGTAATATTTCCTTTTTCATAATTTGATCCAAGTTGGGGTGATTTTTTTTCCCTTTCGATTCTCAAGGCTTTGCCTTGATTAATCCGATTCGACTCGTGTCGCACATTTAGTTTTTGTGGGTTGGTCTCTCAGCGAAGCTTTTCTACATACGGAATGACTCGAACATAAGATTTAAGTAACATTAAGGCTTAGTTTATTTTCACTGTGTAACATCTTCAAACCTCTTATGTCTGCGCCGCGCAGACCACGCGCAGACGTTAGGTTTCGCAGACCGTTTGTTTTTTAGAAGACAGAAGCTCTTCAAACGTCTGCGCGAGCTCTTCTTGGTGCAGACATGGTTTTATGTCTTCAAAGGTCTACGGGAAAATTAAAATCATTTAAATATATTTTAAAATTTATTTTAAAAATATAGATTGATTTATTTTAAAATATAGATTGGTTTATTTTAAAATATGGATTGATTTATTTTAAAATATGGTTTGATTTATTTTAAAATATGGATTGATTTATTTTAAAATATGAAAAAAGTTATTTTAAAATATGAATTGATTTATTTTAAAATAAGGATTGATTTATTTTAAAATATAGATTGATTTATTTTAAAATATGGATTGATTTATTTTAAAATATGAATTGATTTATTTTAAAAAATTTATTATTGTACTTGTATGGATTATTTAAATTTCAGTATTATAAAACTAAAATTATTTAAATTTCAGTATTGCAAAACTCTTTTAAGTTTAAAAAATCAATTTATTTTATATTTTAGTTTATTTTAGAATGTAGACGTTAAAAAACCAATAGTCTTCTTCTTACAGATTGCAGACTTTTGACCCATCTCTTCTGCTGCAGATGTCAGCAGATATGATCCACAGACTACAGACCTTTTACCTCTTCAAAAATAAACACCACCTAAATTACTTACTACTTGCAGTAACTCGTTGGTGGGGCAAATTTATTTGAATATTCGTATAGATAATAAAAGTTGTGCAATCCAACCTAAGATTATATTTAGAATAGCTTTTTGTGGACCGAAAACAGGTCAGGATGTGACTCCTAAACTTCATTTCTAGAAGCTATTCTAATCTAAAATTCCAAGTCACAATTGATAGAGAGAAGTTAATAAATTTGTTTACAAAAATAGAAATAATTGGATAAATTTGTTAGGTAGACACCACCCAATGGATATGAAAAAAATAAATATTTTTAAAATAATAAAATTAAAACTCCCAAGCTTAACAAAAAGATTTTGGGAAAATTCCAATCACCTCCTCTCTTATATTTTGTTGTGCTACTTTTTAGATTTGTTGTTAACCGGTGATATTCTTTTTTTCTATTTTCTCTTTAGACTTTGTATTTTTATTTTATTTTATTTGAATTAATTAATCTTTCAAATTTTATATAAAAACGATGGCTGATTTTATTTCTTGTATAATATTTTTAGGATAAATTATACGTTTAACGCTTAAACTATTAGTTTTGGCCCGTTTTAATATCTAGGTTTACATTTTTTTTAAAATCATTCTTAACGTTTAGTTTTTATTTTATTTTAGTATTTCACCATTAAAAATATAAAGACATTGAATTTTTTATGGGTAAATTACATCATTCATCACTTAACTATTTTCTCTCTCCTATTTCGATACTAAAGTTTAAAAAAAATTCAATTTAATTACGCAATTTTCAAACCGCTCATATTTTAATCACTCTAATTTATTTTATTAATAATTTTTGCGACTTGACATTTTTATTATTATTATTATTATTATTATTATTTTGATAGAAGTTGGAGGTCTCATTAAAAACTCTCTTTGTATTCGTCCACATACTAAGAAGTATGTTAACGAACATTAGAATGAAGAAAAGAGTACCTCATATTTTATTGAATAAAACACCCATTACATATGAAAACACGAAATACCCTCAAACGGGGATAAACACCATTACAAAAAATATAATCACCTAAAACTCTCGCCTTTTCGACCACAAAAATCAAGAGGCAAACACCCTATACCTAAGATAAACCTCCATCAAAAGGAAAAACAACCCAATATTTGACATGACATACATAAAACAACACCTAAAACCATGAAACAAAAACATCCGCCTCTGAAGGGAACATCCACTGCACGATTTGTTCTGTCTTACAGAGAATTCTTCGACGTTGTCTCGAGAGAACTAATCAGATCTGGAGAATCATCGACTTCCTCAGGGATCCAAGAGTTTGGTTATTATTATTTTATTAATATATAATTAAAAATAAAAAATAAATTTGAAAGCTAGAATGATTAAATTAGGAGTAATTTAAAAGTTAAGTAATTAAATTAAAAAATATTTAAAATTGAGTGACCAAAATATGAGTGAGAAGACAGTTAAATGAAGAATGATACAATTTACCCATAAAAAGGTACCACGCAGGACGGATGCATGAATTTGTGTCGGGGGTGCGAGATTATAAAATCCGAGAGGGTGCAAAATTAAATAATTCATATAAAATACAAAAAATCTAAAATATAATGGATTTTAAAATTTTTAGGGGTGCAACCGTAACCTCCAGTACCCCTCGGTCTATCCCTAGTACCAAATGCAAAACAGCCGATAAGTTTTTAATAGCGAGGTACTAAAACCAAATAAAACTAAATGTCAGATATGATTTTAAAAGAATTGAAAATTTAAGTACTAAACGAATAAAACTAATAGTTTATATACTAAATGTGAAATTTACCTTTTTATTCATGAAAATGGTAAGCTCTCCAGACAAAAATTAGTGAAATGGGATCCTTTGGAATTTTTATTTTCAAATACAACATTGTCCTAACTTTGACAATTACGACACATAGGAAATTATTAGCATTTCTTTTATTCCAAATCATATAGAACGGACGAAACGTAGACAGATAGGTACGGTCGGCTGCACGTTACAACTGGACCCCACAAAAAAACTTAAAAAACTTTCCACGTCATCAACCGTACAAATCTGTAATTTTCAGTCCCCCTCGTTGAAATTACGGATTTGTAAACCCCAATCCTTATATATTCCCACTTCTCGTACTTTTCTGTACTACCCCTCCTTTTTTCCTTCTTCCTCCCTCCTCTTGCCACGTGTCCTGTTCTTCCAATCCATCAACGGCTCACGTACCATTGAAATTTAAAGTCATCTACCAATACGAAAGAGCCACGTCATGTAAACTGATATATGGTATCCACGTGGCGGTTTTCTGTATGGAGAACTCTGTTTAAAGACGTGAACGGGTTCTCATTGAAGCGTTTACGTTTGTCTTCTCTACTGTATTTCTTTTTCCCCTCTGCAACTCTCACTTACCAAGACATTGCTTCGAATTTTCCTCTTAATTTCTCTTTGGAAAAACAAAATACCCGGAAAATGAACCCGACCCGGACGGACAGTTTTAGCTTGATTCGGACTCTCTGTAAACCGACCCATCACCCGCTTCTCTACCTCCGAGTCGCCTTCTTGTTTGTTCCCACCTGAGAAAGATCGTGTTTTAGTGAAAGGTTAAGCTTTTTTTTGTTGTTTTGTTTATTTTGTAAAACCCAGAATGTCGCCGTTTCAATTGAAGAAGAACATCCTTAGTTTAACAGAAGATTTGCTCTTTCGGATCTACGAGATTCTTGTCTCCGAGTCGGATCGGAAATCGTTTAGGCTCGTCTGCCGAGAGTTCCATCGAATCGACTCGTTGACTCGGAAGCATCTCCGAGTACTTCGGATCGAGTTCTTGCCGATTCTTCTCCATAAGTACCCTCGATTGCAATCTCTCGACCTCTCCGTTTGTCCCCGCATTGAAGACGAGGTGGTTTCCTTGCTCTTATCTCGGGTTGGAACGGGTTCGATTTCTCTGAGTTTGGGTAATTGGACTCGGGGTTTGAAGAGTCTGGTCCTGAGCCGAGCGACTGGGTTGAGGTTCTCGGGTTTGGAGATGTTGGCACGTGCTTGTCCGTGTTTGGAGAGCGTTGACGTCTCGTATTGTTGTGGGTTCGGAGACAGGGAAGCCGCTGCTTTATCGTCCGCCGTTGGATTGAGGGAGTTGAACATGGATAAGTGCTTGCAACTCACCGATGTCGGATTGGCGAAGATCGCTATCGGGTGTTCGAAGTTACAAAAATTGAGCTTGAAGTGGTGTATGGAGATAACTGATCTTGGTGTTGATCTTTTGTGTAAGAAATGCTTTGATTTGAAGTATCTTGATGTCTCTTATCTCAAGGTTTGTTCCTTTTTTTCACTCTCTCATGGTTTTTTGAATGTATTGTTTCTCAATGCAATGTTTGGTTACTGAGAAAATAGAAGCTCATTTTGAAACTACATCGAATTTCTTCTGAATTAGTCTGTGGTTGATCTTGGTGTATGTTTAGGTTACAAATGAATCACTTCATTCTATTGCTTCTCTGCTGAAACTGGAGGTTTTGGGTTTAATGGCGTGTCCTTTAATCGATGATGTCGGATTACAGTTTATTGAGCACGGGTGCCCTTTATTAAAGGTAGGAAACTTTTTCATCTGAATAGAATTCTTTTGCGTATACAACATAAAAATGGAAAGTAATGTTTTGAATTATGTTGATTGTAGGTCATTGATGTATCCAGGTGCGAAGGTCTGAGTTCGTCTAGTTTAATCTTTGTCGTTAGAGGTCATGGTAATCTTCTGGAGCTAAATGCAGGTTACTGTCTTTCTGTAAGTAATTTCTTGGTTGCTTGCTTTTTGTGATTAGCCGATGTTATCCTGATTTGGTCTGGAGTAGTATAACTTTGCCTTTTCGATTAATGGATGCTGAATGTTGGTTTTCATGATAGGAGCTTTCTACAGCCCTTTTGCATCAGATAAAGAACTTAAAGCGCCTTGAAGTGATTAGAATCGATGGGGCTAGAATTTCCCAGTCTAGTTTCCAAGTAATTAGCGCCAACTGCAAGTCATTGGTAGAGATCGGGCTTAGCAAATGTGTGGGGGTGACTAACATGGGTGTAATGAAACTTGTATCTGGCTGCATTAATTTAAGAGTTCTAAATCTAACCTGCTGCCGTTCGGTTACTGATGCTGCAATTTCTGCTATAGCTGACTCATGCAGAAACCTTGTATGCCTCAAGCTAGAGTCTTGTAATATGATTACCGAGAAGGGTCTTTGTCAGCTCGGATCCTTTTGCTTGCTACTGGAGGAAATTGATCTAACGGATTGTTGTGGTGTAAATGACAAAGGTTAGAATCTCAAACCATTCTCTATTTTAATTTTGTTTCCCATCATGCAACTTATTGGTTACGCTCTGGTTTCCATTTAATTAGTGTGTTTTATTCTTATCTGCAGGATTGGAATACTTATCTAGATGTTCTGAACTATCATGCTTGAAACTGGGGCTTTGCACAAACATATCGGATAAAGGACTTTACTATATCGGTTCTAACTGTAAAAAGATTCATGAACTAGATCTATACCGGTAAAGTAAGCTTAAAATCGACTTGAGAGTAAAGTTTTATTTTCTTAACATGCTAAGAAAGTTTAATATATGTTCATTTGGACTTGCAGGTGTACCGCTATCAGTGATGATGGCTTAGATGCTATATCCAGTGGTTGCAAGAAGTTGAGGAAACTCAACTTGTCATACTGCAATGAAGTTTCTGACAGAGGGCTAGGTTATCTCGGTTGTCTAAAGGAACTTTCTGATCTGGAAATGCGGGCACTTCATAAAATAACAGGTGTGGGTTTGGAAGCACTTGTAGCTGGATGTAAGAGACTGGCAGATCTGGATATTAAACATTGCGAGAAAGTTGATGATTCGGGCTTTTGGGCACTTGCCTACTACTCAAGGAATCTTCGACAGGTAGAGTTTGTCTGATTTTGATTATGCGATATGAGTGCTTTTATCTGTATGTAGTAATTTATTTTCTTATTGAATTCGCTAGAGATATCTGTGGAAAACATGTATAAAATGTTACTTTTGGTAAAAAAGATCCATATTGTCGATACTCGATATGCAGAAAGTTTATCCTTCTAGGGTCTAAACGCCGCCCACATTGTTATGTTTTCTTGATTCATCTTCAATGCATGTTTTTGATCTCATAGGAAGGAGCTTCAAGTGTTTGCATACTTATTCACTTAGTTCCTTTACTTTCTTGTTGGTTAACTCAGTGCTATGCTCTCTAAATCGTCGATTTTCCCCCTTCCGATTCTATTGTTGTGTGTTTTAGCATAAGCAACCTGCATGATGGAAACCTTGTATGAAATCTATGTCGAAATTGGTGGAAGCCATTCATGGAAGTTTCAAATATGCTAAACTCTGTTATGTTGGCAGATAAATTTGAGCTACTGTGCCATTTCTGATATGGCATTGTGCATGGTGATGGGGAACTTGAGCCGGCTGCAGGAGGCGAAGGTTGTGCACCTCCACAATGTCACGGTTAAAGGGTTCGAACTTGCACTTAGAGCCTGCTGTGTACGGGTAAAAAAGATCAAGCTGTGTGCCCTTCTACGATTCACACTGTCATCGGAGATCATTGAAATCCTGCATGCCAGAGGTTGCATCATAAGATGGGATTAGTAGATGTCTACATCTTGGAAGTTCATCAGGATAATAATAAATGAACTCCTTATGCCTCTTTTGTATGTTTTATTCGATATTTAAACGTGACGTTTGAAGCTCGTATCCTGCTCCGGATAAAAGGTTTAAGTTCAACTTCAGCTTGGACTTGTATTAACAACGGATTATTTATCATGTTAACTATCATTGTAAGTATTTTATCTTTCTTCTCTGAATGCCTCAAATGATGAAAATTGCAGGGATACGTTATAAACCATATTTTAAAACCTGAACTAGATTTTTATGAACACTTGAATGGGTTAGTAGAGGATGGCTCAAGTGGCTTGGAGATAAACATGTCTTGTCTTGAACCTGCCTATCTCGATGCAACGTTCTGATTACCGCTTGTCCAACTGCTGTAACGTGATGAGCATCTTTCTTCTTGGTGCGCAGCTGCACAACTAACGTGTAGTTTTGTTCTAACGAGCGCTTCCATTCCATGCAACACGCTAACCCATCCAGCACACTCATAGTTCTTCCTCTAGCAGAGAACATCGACGGGTGGTTTTGGGGGCTTTGCCTGACCTTGAAATGGCCTAGTTTCCACATTATATGAGATTCTACCTCTGCAAAATTTTTTACCCTCGGGAGGTTCATTGATGGCCGGCTATGGTTGCTTGCAAATGGCCTCAAGGCCACCTGTGGGAATGCAATAAATTCAGATTGATCTCGTTCAATCCGGCCTCATTTATAAACACCTTTAGTTGTAGGTATTTTATCACAAAGATTAAATCAAACCCAACACGCTAAACACATTAACAAGTCCGGTTCGATTGATCGAACCGGAACCGAATAATCTAATATATAAATTCTTGGAGAAGTGGTTTAGATGACGTTAACAGGCCGTCCTTCAGCCGGGGTTGGTGTTGACCCCAGGCCATGCTGCATGGATACCATAGTCCATATACACAAACAAGGGAACGTGTACAATTAATCATAAATGTATAGCAAATATAGGATAAAAAATCCTAATTCCTTTCACAAATCAATCCTTGTTTATTCCTTATTGCCATGCACGTTTGTCCTCACTGCATGATTTATAATGCAAAGCATGTATCAACTGCAGAAAACAAAGGCTCTTCGACACAATGGCTCTCAAGGCTTCAACTATTTGCATCATAGCTATTCTCGTTTCTTTTCTCTCCATCTTTAGCTACCTACATCGATCCCACCTCGGTTGTCGATGCGGAATCCGTTTGCAAGCTCACCCCACTTGCCTATTTCTGCAAATCTGTTATACCCTCCGATAAGTTCACCACCATTTTAGACTTCGGCAGGGTTTCGGTGCACCAATTGTTGTTGAACACTCACAGTTTCCTCGGTTCCATCAAGTATTTTCTTAGACAACCATCGGTTTCGTCCTTGGCACCATTCGAGCCCTCCAGGTTGCCAGTTTCTATCTGAGCTTACGTGGATTTCTTGTCATACACGTCAGAACGGATCAAATCTGATAGCCTCGACGCATTCCTGGCTGATGATTTGCATTGCTTGCTTAGCACTGTTTTAACTAATGTGCAAACTAGCGTCGAAGGGCTTGAAGCTATGCCGTCGGCTTCGAGCATCAAACATGGTCTGTTGCCATATATCTCGAATGGAACGAATTTCCTCAGTGTCTCTTGCACTTTTCAAGCACGGTTGGGTTCATGGATTTATCAACTCTGTATTAGGAAGAAACCATGTTTTCTCCAATTTGGTACACGGCTGAGATTCTTCTCTGCCTTTAATAATGTCGGACCATGGCAGAGACGTCTACAAATCCGCAAGCCGACGGAAGGATGTTCGAGCAGACGGGAAAGGGGAAGGTGTTTCAGTGAGTCAAGTAGTCGTTGTAAACCCTGATGGAAGTGGCAATTTCACCACCATCAACGAAGCAGTGGCAGCTACGGGCGACAGCAACCGATACTTTTTGATTTACGTAGCTGCCGGTGTTTATGTAGCAGAACTTGATGATGATCGGAGTCGGTATTAACAAGACGATAATCATCGGAAACCGCAAACTTCGTGGATGGATCAATCACATTCAACTCCGCAACATTTGGTAAAGTACTAGAATTTATGTTCCATTTGAATCATGTCCCAACATTCACATAATCTTACAATTTTAATGAACTCAACAATGACTCTCCCGCAGCTGTTGTCGGGAAGGAATTCGTTGCGGTCGACATCACATTCCGTAACACGGCCGGACCTACCAAACACCAAGTGGTTGCTGTCTGTAACGGAGCCGACATGTCCACGTTTTACCTATGCCGAACCAATTCAACACGATCACAGCTCAAGGAAGAACCGATCCTAATCAAAATACGGGCATATCGATCCACAATTGTGTCATCAAACCTGCCGACGACCTCGCCTCGAGCAACGGCAAGATGAAAACATACCTCAGACGGCCGCGGAAGGAGTACTCAAGGACTGTGTGCATGCAGAAGTACATGGAGAGTTTGATTGAGCCTGCTGGATGGAGTGAATGGGCAGGGAATTTCGCACTCGATACACTATACTATGCCGAATATTCGAACAAGGGTTCGGGTTCGAACACGGGTTCCAGGGTCCAATGGGTTATTTAACTATTTAAATGATTGGTTCGTGCGGATTATTTAACTATTTAAATGATTGGTTCGTGCGGATTATTTAACTATTTAAATGATGTTAATCATATCTTTTGTAATTAATATTTGAAATAACTATGACTTGAGTGACTTATAATGTAATTTACTTAAAATTACTTTTAAAGGAATGGATAAATTCAGATATAATAATAAGTAGTCTGCCCTCCGCCGCCTCCCCTCACAAATCTCAGATAAAGAAGAAAAAGGCCTTTTTGTTCGCCTATGGCGGCATCGTCGTCATCGGCTAGTTCTTACTCTTCGACGGATTCCTCGTTCGATTCTTCTTCCTCGCGCGCCAAAAAACGCCGACATCGCAGCAACCGTGGCAAAAGAGACAGAGATTCCCTCAAAACCCGGAAGAAGAGTGGTTCGATAGGTAAACGGCGTCGTAGGAAGCATCGTCGTCATTCTTCGGATTCTTACTCTTCGTCTGACTCCGATTCCTCCAGGTAAAAAGAAATTGCTTCTTTTGTTAGCTAATTTATTTTTTTAAGATTTTATTAAATATTTCGTCTGGAATTTTAGTTGTAAGCGTTCTTCTGTGAACGTTATCATGGATTTTTCAATTTTTTATGTTACGTTTATGATTAATAGTTTATACCGTTTCTAACTCTTTATCATGTTCTGGTTAAAGTGAGATTAGGATCGTAATAATTTATAGTCAATAAATTTACAATTCATTTAACAAAATGAAACTTAATTGTAGCTTATGATGCATATCTAACGTTCGTGTTGCCTATGCATTTTGATAAATTTTGTTTATTGTACAATGGATTGATTTTTATGATCTTACATTTTATACAAACGAAATTTGATGTATGTAGTGCACTAACGATTAAACATAAGGAAATGCAAAATTGTGTTGTCTGCATCTTGAATGCATGATACGAATTCTTGAGCAAGAACAAGTTGCCTTCAATACTGTTTTTCATTTTATAGTTTGTGTTCTTATACCTTTATTCCTTACATGGAAGGTGGAGAAATTACATGCAACAATCTGGACATTTAGCATTTTCTGACTTGTAACCTTAACTTGAATACTTGGTGTCTTGGTCAATGAGTTTCCTAACATTCTATAACTGCTAAATTGTTGCAGGAGTGCCAGTTCATCGGACAGAGAGCATGAGTCCAGACATTCAAAGAGGCACAAAAAAAGTGACAGGCAAAAGAAGGTTAAGTATTGGTGCTCCAATTTTATCTTCTCATTTTATTGTAGCCACCCATGCAGCTCACTTATTATCCTGTTTCCCTTTTAGTCAAAGGAAAAAGAGCGAAGCAAGAGTCACCGACATAAACATCAAAAGTACAAACTAAAAGAGGTATGTCACTATTTACAATGCACATCCCTGTGTTGTTTTCAATCTTAATTTTTTTTTCTTGTGGAATATCATATACAACGCTCATCTCCAACACCTATCTAGATATATAGGTGTGAGATATGACCTAGACCCTTCAAATATACGCAAACTTTGTAAAAAGAACATTTTCATGATTGACACATAACCTTTATTCGGAATTCACACTAGAGTCCAACATAAATGTGTAGCATGGATGTTTAAATAACCTGAGATCGACTGCTACTATCATGAAATCGTAACCCTAGGGACTTAATTATTTTGTGTTTTATATTTGACACGGTATCTAAATTTGCTTAAAATACTTTTTTCCTGTTCTATGGATTGGCTCTTTGAAATTGGAGCTAGGGCCCGTGACATGATAACTGGGTGCAATTGGCTTGGATTTTTTTTCTGGGTCCGGTTTGTCCTGGCAATCGGAGCTACATACAGAAGCAGCACGATGATAGAAGTAGCAGCCCTGTGCAGCTTTCTAAGGTAATCCATTGCTCTCTAGTGGTTCAGGATAATATCCCCTTGTTTTCTGTCACTCCTGCCGACTTTCTTATCCTTTATACAGTTTCTTGGGCGCGACAAGGAAGATGGTGCACGGCGTAGTGCTGTGTCTGGCAAAAAGGTAAGTCAATCTTGTTTTCATTGGAGACGGACAGGGGTTCAAGGTCTTGCTTCTCAACATATGGCCAAAAGGTACTGATATTGTCACTTGTGATGGTACTTACATTGCTATTGTTCTTGTTGCATTGTTTCTAGATTCTCTTGAAACTTGACAAGTCCAAGGAAGACAAAGAGGCCGAGAGTAAAAGAAATGAATTGTTGAAGTTCCTAAATGCTAGTTTTGATTGACTTACTGGAGCTGAAGTTCAAACTATATTATGAAGTCAAGGTTAATGATGCTTGGAAGTCATATTGATCGGTCAAGTTTTCATTATATCCCAAGGGAATGTTCAGTGTCGTGTTTTATGGATTTGGTTCCTTCTTTTATACAGTTGACTATGTGACCAACCTTTACATGTTTGATACGCTAGTGTTTTTTGTTTGGGATTCTCTCTGTTATATGCTAAATTTCTTCAAGATCTTGATCAGGTTCGGTTCGGACATCGTTCTTCCCGGAATCTGGTGTCTTGGTGAATGGTTCCGAGGACATTTCTCCTTTTTCTCATGCGTAAGGCTATAGGGTATGAATGATTTGGTTTTTCGTTTTATGCATGATTTACACAATTCTAGAGCATTTGCAGCATCAACTACCATGGCATTAACAGTATTATAGGCTTTTAGAACTGTAGCTGATATCTGCAACGGCGGAACACCCAGAAGGATACTGGAAAAATTGTCAATTGGTCCCTTAAATTTTTAATTTTTTTTGTTCTCAAAATATTTGAAAAATTAGTCTTAAAATTATATAATTTTACATTGATGTATATTCGTAAATTAAATTAGTATTTTTAAAATAAGATTTTTTTTATATATCTAACTTAAATTGTTATAAATTAAAATCATAAATATATGAATTTAAATTAAATTATAAAGTATCACGTTTTTTACGAGTTAAAGTTTTAAAATATTAAATTATTAATAATGTACACATGCTGTTTTTATATCTGATAATCAGTTTTTTTATAAAATAATATTATTTTTAATTTACTTTTTTAGGTGAATGTTTTTTGTTTTCTCTATTCTTTTATAACATTTTTAAATACAAATAAATAAAAGTTACATTAAAGAAGATTATTTTAATTTATAAATAATGAAATTTCTATTATTTGTAATTTTAATAAAACTTTTGTACAATTTGAACATCAATTGTTATAATTATATCTAATTTTTAAAGAAAATTTCAGTGCATATATAACAAAAAAGGGTATGTTGTTTGACATTTATTGTATGGAATTGCATATAAGGTTGCATAATTTAATATATGAAATTATTGTTAAAATTATTTTCCGATAATTAATCGTTTCGTTATTGATATAGGGGTGATAAATCGAGTCATTTTGAGTTGGGTTATTTTGGGTTTAAATTTATTCGGTTTAGGTTTGGGTTCAATTGGATTTGGTTTGGGTTTTTTGAGTTAACGAAAATCCATTTTAGGTCGGGTATAATCGGATTAAAATTGGATCGGTTAGTTTTTGTGTTGGGTTCATATCGGATCGGTTGACTTCAAGTCAAGTCAATATCAGTTTCATTTGTTTTGATTCAAATCAATCGTTAGATTTTTGGGACAATTCAGATTGGTTTTAATTTGAGTTAACCTTTAAATTTTCTGGTCAACCTTTATATTTCTATGTCAACTATAGTCACTCTCCGTCGTCATAACTTTTAGTGTTGTTCTTTATTACTTATAATTAAAGAATTTTATGTGAATATATATTGTCACATTTCAAATTCAAAGTTTGAAGCTTTAGTTTAAATCAATCGAATCAATATATCTTTAAAATCAAGAATTTTATGTGAATATATATTATCAGAGTCCAAATTCAGAGTTAAAAATTATTGCATCAGATATAGAGATGATATTTCAATTGATAAAAGATTAAATTGAACCATTAAACTATTACTAAAAGTGATGATTAACTAGTAATATAATATAAAACGAGAATAAAACATACATCGTTTTACTATTTATCAATGTTAAAAATAGAAAATAATAATAAAAATAAAAAAATTATTCATTCAATTAGACTCATTATCGGGTTAAAATTAGGTCGAAGTTTAGTTTGTGTTTTTTTATTCGAGTTGCTCTTGTAAGTTGCTTTAGGTTCGAGTTGATTTTGGTTCGGATTGCTTTTGGTCCAACTAAAATTCAGACTCGATTTTGGTTCAGTTCAGGTTATTTTGAATTTTCAATCATTCTATTCGAGTTTATATCAAATTTTGGTTCGGATAAATTAATTCGAATAATCGAATACGAGTCAAATTTACAAGCTCTAATTAACTATTTAGTTACAAGTGTGTGCGACATATATGTGGTGATTTGTTTGGCCCGAGCAATATTTCATGGGGCCTGAATTGTAAAATTGAGAAAAATGTTAAGATAGACATGTGATTCACGTATTCCTCGCATGTTTGATTGCACTTTCACGGTTAAGAATTTATTAGAAAAATGGTAGGGTTTTATTGTGGGCGTTTTTACCAAAAAATCACCCTAACAATGAAATATTACTTGTCAGACATCCCTTCTCCAAATATTATCAATATAGTAATTTTTATGATAAAGCGCGATCACAAAGTGCGCCTTTGCGGTGTTCTATCCGAGCTAATGTCACAGTTGAAGGCACAGATCACGAAACACACCTTCGTGGGGTTCCTTCCGAGCTGGTAAAATGTGCGGATTCCGTCCGAGCTGGCAAAAGGCACAAATTCCTTCCGAGCTGGCAAAAGGAGCAAATCATAATCCACGCCTTTCATTTAAATTCAACCGTCTGCCATAAATACAGTCTAACCGTCCATCCACCTCCCTCTCCCCCTCTCCTATAAATACCCCCTCCCTTTCAACAATTACACCACAAACGAAAATATTATATTTCTTCATTCTATCTATCGTTCTATCAAGTTTTAAGAATGTATAATTATCATTATATTTTATTGTATTAATTTTTTATTACTTTTTGCAGTTATAAAATGACATGTGGGTTGTTGCGTTTATATGATAATCATATCTCGAGTCATTTTGTCGATATGATAATAATTTTAAATTTTGTTATTTTATTTATTATGAATGTTTTATTTAGTTATTTTTTAGTATTAGTTTATATTTTAATTTGTATATTATTTATTTAATTAGGTGAATGGTCATATATTAGATCCATTTATTCATAACGTTAAGTTAAAGATATCGAGTCATGTATGGTCATATTTAGTAACAACTGGATTCAGTGACATAGCAAAATATGAAGGATATTGTAACATTAAATCCAACCTTATTTCTGCAGTGATTGAGAGATAGAGACCAGAGAGACACACATCCCATCTTTCATGTGGGGAGTGCATTATTATGGTGGAGGATGTTTCCATACATTTGGGGCTTTCGGTAGATGGGGAGTTATTTCTGGTGTGACGGATTGTGATTGACATTCCTTGTGCGAGGAGTATCTTGGAGGTATCTCGCATAATTTCAACAGTGGTCGAATACAATTATCATGGTTGGCTACAAATTTTTGACAATTGAGCGAAGACTATTCCGAGGAACAGGCTAAAATATTTGCCCTTGCTTGCATATTACAGTTGCATATCACAATATCGATACTGGTTAAGCCCAACGGCTAGTTTATTTAAATATAATAAAGGAAGTATCGATACTCATTAAAGGAGTACTGATACTCTCTGTCCTGAGCAGTTTTATTTTGCAGAGAATTTCTGTCCTGGACAGTTTTATTTTTGTAGAGAATTTATCCCCAAGGGCTCCAAATCACCCCCAACGGTTAAAAACGGTCACAAACACATTCCAACATATAAAAACAAGTTAATGACACTTGAAGAAGGGTTAGAACACCTATACAAGCAATCAAATACAAGAGAAGAGTTTTTCAATCTTTATTTTCTTCTCTTGTAATATTTGTGTTTTGAGCTTAATTTTATATCCTTAGGTTTGTTTTTTGCGAGCTTAAATTTTGTAAACACATACCTTGTAAGGGTTTTCTTGTTTACATCTTTTTCCTTATGTAAAAGGGGTTTTGGTTCTATCTTAGCTAATTGAAAAAATAGGAGTGGTAAAGGTTATTCTTGATCCTTGAAAAAGAAATAACAAATTAGTGGATTTGTTGGAAAATCCTAAGTGGGGAGCTTAGGTAGTGGGTGTAGACTTATTTGAGAAATCGAACCACTATAAATCATTGTGTAAATTTCCTTATCTTTATACTCCTTACTCCCTACACTTTAAATTACCAATTCACCCTCTTTTGGCAAATTTTCGGTTGATCATTGAGCTTTATCGAAGATCCCAACAATTACCATCGAGTGATATCAGCAATAAAAGGAAATATGAGTAAAAATAGATGATTGGGGAATATAATGTGAAATTTTTTAGTTATTATATATGGGTTAGGATCCCTTACACGATGTAAAACTCTTTAGTTTTACGTAGATTTGGGTCTGTTAGATGAGTGAAAATAGATGATTGAGATTAAAAGTAAGAAATATGAAGATACTTACTGGGAGAGAAAACAATGAATTAATTTCAGTCATCTATTTTCACTCACCTAACGATCCTAAGCCTGTGTAACACTAAAGAATTTTATATTGTGTAAGTGAATCCTAACCCATATATAATAACTAAAAAAATTTCTCATAAATATTAAGTTATAATCATTTTATTTAAAGATTTAGGGTTGTTTGATGGATTGTTAATACTTAATTTTGAATTAAGCCAAATTACTATTATCTTTAACAAACTTGCTTTTGCCTTTATATATCAAAGCACTCGACATACAGAGAGAGGCACAGGGGAAAGACAAAGGACAAGATCAAGAGAGAACATGGAGGGAATACACCACAGAACGGTGAACGTCAACGGCATATAGATGCACGTCGCCGAGAAGGGTCAAGGTCCGGTCATCCTCTTCCTCCATGGCTTCCCCGAAATCTGGTACACTTGGAGGCATCAAATTCTTGCATTGAGCTCACTCGGGTACCACACCATCGCGCCCGATCTCCGCGGCTACGGCGACACCGAGGCTCCTGTGTCGATAACAAGTTACTCATGCATGCACATCGTAGGTGACCTTGTCGCACTGGTTGACGCTCTCGGCGTCGACCGAGTGTTCTTGGTGGCTCATGATTGGGGTGCCATTATAGGATGGTACCTTTGCTTGTTCCGTCCCGACCGAGTCAAGGCCTTTGTGTGCCTAGAAAACCAATGAAGCCTGTCGAGAGCATGAGGCTCTTCTTCGGAGATGATTACTATATTTGCAGATTTCAGGTTTTTCTATATCTTTAGCCTTATAGTTAACACGAACACTAACACGAACGCGATTACATCGGAACCTGTTGCAGGAACCTGGGAAGATTGAAGCAGAGATAGTTCATTATGGGACTTCAAACGTGCTAAAGAGGATCATTTCGAGTCGAAAACCAGGGCCACCATGCATGCCTAAAGACAATGCTTTTAACATCAAACCAGATACACCAATTCCCTTACCATCTTGGTTCTCCGAAGATGATCTTAGCTACTACACCAACAAATTCAACCAAAAAGGCTTCACTGGAGCTCTCAACTATTACAGGGCCTTTGATCTGTAAGCATTTTACCAGGAAAAAAGCTGTTTTGAACCAATTCTGATCTTATGAATTTTAGTCTAATTTCTCTGTCAAATTGTAGAAACTGGGAATTGACAGCACCATGGAGTGGTGCACAAGTGAAAGTGCCTGTGAAGTTCATAGTGGGAGATTTGGACAGTGTTTATACAACCCAGGGGTGATGGAATATGTTGAGAATGGTGATTTCAAAGGGTATGTGCCCTTGTTGGATGAAGTTGTCGTCATGGAAGGTGTTGGTCATTTTATTAACCAAGAAAGGGCTGATGAGATCAACTCTCACATTCTTGATTTCATCAAAAAATTCTGAATCTGGCTTTGTTTTTATGTATAAGCTGAATGCAGCTTTGTTATCTCTTGAACTGTTATTTGTATTTGGTCAAATTATGTCATTAATCCTTCAACTATGAGTATATGGGTATGTGTAATGTATTGAATAAGAGGATTGGAAATGGTGTTTCGATTCATTCGCAGTGTTTGAGGCAGAGTTGTAAATAATGCAGTGTTCGATTTATGCTCAAAGTTGACTTGAATTCTTAACCAAGTCGAAACGAGACTTAATATATAATTCTAGAAACTCAAACAACTCAAAAAATAATACTGTTAACATTTGTATGTTGTTCTTTGTAGGATTTTTATGTACTTAAAATTGAAGTTAAAACTAGAGTTCGAAATTCAATCAGTGTTAAATCTGAAAATATTTTGAATTTCGGTTTTATCAAACTCAAGCCAAATTTCAAGTTTTAATTTCGAATTCAAGTTAAACTTCATAAGTTTGTAAGTTCTCAAATCAAGTCAAACTAAACATTTGACTTTTCGAATCAAGCTCAACATTATTCAAACTCAACTTGGCTTGTTTACGGCCCTTGTTTGAGGAACAAGAATGGCGTGTTGTAATGAGTTACCTATGTAGTCAGTACAATCCATTTACACGCAGTGATGCAAATTTATATGTATTCTTAATACAACTTAAAATGATCAGATTCAAGATCAAAATTTCAGAACCAGAAAATATAGACTAGAAATGAAGAAATTAGGAGGACTAAATCAACAACTTTTACATAGTGCAGGGACTAATAGAAGAATTCCATGTGAAGATATAACATTGAAATGCTTAAACATACTCCACTTTGTAACATAGGAAAGATTTATCCCAAAGAAGCTAATCCATGAACAATAAGATGCAAACATAAGCAAGTAAAACAACTGGCATAGAACCCTAAATGGCAGCCACAAAATCAACTTTAATAAAATCACATTTTAAACCCTGAATCCCTTGCTGTTCCTTCTTCCTCTAGCCCTCTCAAACTTCCTTCCCTTTGCGCGTACATACGGCTTGGTGTGGCTGTGAGGAACACCAGGCGCAGGACCGAAGTGTTTAACTGCTTCTCGGGAGTTCTTTGGACCTCTGAGGAGAACCTGTGGTTCCACCCAATGTAAACTCATAAGAATTAGAAGAGAGCAAAAGATCGACTTTATGGTGAGACCAAATGAACTTCACTTCCTATTGAAGGTTAAATAAGGTTTCGAGCGCTAGAAATGACTCAGTACGAACATGTAAAGCGAGTCATTTTCGATGTTTGTTTAAAGAGAAACAAAAATAAGTTGAGATAATTAAGGATTTCCTTTCAAATGCAGAACTGTGAACATTAAAGTAGTATCAAACATATGAACTAGCAGAATCATTCATAAATTCACATTGTAATAGATAAGATTCAGCAGATTACATTCCAATGAACTCGATACAATCATTTTTCAAAAAGTGCAGGAAAAAAAATCCCATTTCATCTTCGAAGAGTTTTGACAAGCAATGAACAAAGCAGAAATGAAATTTCAACAAAAACGTAACTTAAAACACCAATCAAATCAATAAACAAATCAACATTCACTTAAAACAAAAGCAAATCAAATCGAACCGAGATCGCATACCGTGTTTTGACCCAAGGGAGCCCTCAAAGCAAGCTGATCAAAAGTCAAGCATTCTCCACCAGCCTTCTCAATCCTAGCTCTAGCAGTCTCAGTAAACCTAAGAGCAGTAACCTTCAAAGCAGGAACCTCATAAACCCTAATATCATCTGTCACTGTCCCCACTACCACAGCAATCTTATCCTCCTACAAATCATTTACAGACACAAAAAATATGAATCAAAATCATAAATCAATAGCCATGCAAAGATCCATAAAAAACCAGAAATATTAAATGATATACCTTTCCCTTCATGAACTGAACTAGCCTAGAGAGAGAAGTGGAGGCTTGTTGACTTTGCTCATAAACAATCGTTTCAATATCACGGCATTGAACTTGCTCCCAGTTCTTCTTACAAGGAAACGGTAAAGCTAAAAACCCAAAGCAAAAACCAACACATTTGTTCAAAAACTATAATAAAAAAGATTGCATTTTTATGCAGAAAACAGGGACAAATGTGAAACCTTGACAAGGAGTTTGAGGTAAATGTCATCGGATTTGGGAGCTGTCCTCTTGGTCTTCTTGCTCTTTCCTCCTGCAATCAGATCGATCCCCTGTTAATGCAAAGACAAAACCATCAAACATGAGCCAATAAAAAACAATGAAGAATTAGATCTTTTGTTGTTTTCTTAAGAGAGAAGAAGTTTGGGAAATCCGGGAAGAGAGTGGAGAGACCATTGCTGAAGCTCTCTGCTTTGGTGGTGTGAAGTGAGGGAGGCGCCGATAATGACAGAGATACACAGAGAATTAGGGTTTCGATTTTGAAGGGATTTTATTCTGTGAGGTTGGGTTTGTTTCGGTGTGGTTCAGTTTATTGATATAGATCGTAGTTCTTTCTTCTAAGCCCGACGCGTGTATCAAGGAAGAAATATTCTGGTATTAGTCCCTATACTAGACTAAATTTAAAATTTAATATTTCTACTTTAATTTAACAAATTTGATCCCTTTTCTCATATAATGTTATTAACAAGTTCAAATTAATTAAATTGTTAATGATTGTTGTTAAGGTGATGTGATGGATTTTTTTACTATTGTTCGATCATACTTAATCTATCATATTAAATTGTCATAGTTCGTTAATTAACAATGCACACAATAAGGTTCGTTAATTAAACATGTCAAAGTTTAATATAAAAATTTATTCAAAATCGATAATAAAAAAATATTAAGATTAATTAAAATATTTGAATTTCGCTTACTTTAACAATTTATTTGAGATTTTTATTAAATTTGATAATAATTAATGATTATATTAATGAAGGACTAAAATAAACTAAACAGAATTATAAGAATTTTAAAGAAGTTGCTAAAATACAGAGAAGTTTTAAGGACCAAGTTGTAAAGAATGCAAAATGTGAGTGGAATGCATGACTATTAACCCAATAAGAGGCATTAGTGAAATTTGATGGGATTAATGTTTATATATGTCATGCTTTTAAAGTATTTAAATGGAAAAAGAATGACTAATAGGTTAATTTGAAATATTTAGTATTTAGTTTATGGGTAAAGTACACAAATGGTCTCCGACTATAGGGTATTGCTTTATTAAGTCCATTGACTATTAAAAGTTATAAATGATCCTCTAATTATAAAATGTCACTTTGTTGAGTCTCTCGACTATTAAAAGTTATAAAACAGTCACATAGCTATTTATTATGTTCCACACTTGTCATTTTCTGTTAAAAATTGACGATTGTTTAAGATGTACATTAACATGGTGACTGATATATGATAATTGTTTGAAATTATGAGATCGAATTTTATTATGTCACAGTCAACAAATTAATGTTCAGCTCAGAATATTCGTCCATTTTTTAACGGAAAATGATGAGTTTGGAATATAACGAATAACCAAGTGATCATTTCGTAACTTTTAATAGTCGAGGTACTTAATAAAGTAGTACTCTATAATCGGGAAACCATTTGTGTTTTTTACCCTTAGTTAAAATAGGTAATTAAACCAAAAACACTAAATACCCTTTTGCGCTCCAAACTGATTGTGAGAAAGAAAATTTTCATTTCATCTTCCTCTAAATTCTTTAAATCCATTGATGAATGCTCCCAATAACACGAGAAAAAAGTCTAAATTTGAGAAAGAAATTTTATATTCGATTATGGTTTTTTTTGAAAGTATATACTCACGGCGGTAAACGAGACTAGACAGATCGCAAGTTACTCGATATCGAATTAATCAAAAATTAGTCAACTCTCAAATCGTATGGAATGGACTTAATCTCTAACTCGACTCTAATTCTTAACAAGTCAAAACGAGTTATTTGATACTTGACTCGAAAATCTCATGAGCATCTGCTCGTTGTAACCGCTCCATTGCGAGACAACGAAACGCAAAGACGAATTTAGTAACGATATCGAATAGTTCGACATATAACTGCTTGTTTTCATCGATGGATCGTAATACATACGTTGGTTGTCGATCGAAAAACAGACAATTAAGAATGCTTTATGCAACAATCCGAAACACCTAATGGTTCGAGTACGAATACCTTCCATAGACCATCGTTGAGGTAATGCATGTTGTTCCCAGCCATGCACACAACCAGCACAGTAATGTCATCCAAATCACCACCAGGGGACGCAAGACCAGGACACATTATGTTTGCACCAGCAAGGACGAATTTTATCGCACCACGATCCACTTGGAACTTTTTCATTATGTTCGGATCTGCAGAACCAAGATACAGAACAGCCATATTCGGATTTCCATTACAATAAGATACATGAGAGTAAAGCACAAAGCCGTCATAGAAGAAAATGGAGCTTATCGTGGTTAAGAAAACCATGTATCTTTATAGTCGACAAGAGCCAATCGGCCGAGTAAACAATCATATAATCAAATGCATACTCATTGTACAATCTTGTCTGAACATCACTCATATACACGAGGATCAAAACAGTAGAAAACCCAATTATGAGATACTTGCATTGGTGAAGGAGTCGGAGAGCACGTCGACAACTTTTTCCCATCACGAAGAAAGTATTGAGCTTTAACAATCTAATTCCTTTGCCTAAGCTCATCTGAATGCCATCTCAAATGATGAAAATCGTTGTAATCGTTACGAGGAAAACGAAGAGCATCCAAGCTGTCAACTTCAAGTACAAGATGACGGGAGCCTACCACCTCCCAAGCTAATAAAAGACCCATACGAACACCCCGAAGCTCAGCTTCAATAACCGAACAAGCTCCTATAAACTTAGTAAAACCAAACTTCCAAGACCCAGAGTATTCGCAAGCTACACCACCACACGAATGCAACCATCCACGTCTCTACAGGTGCCATCAGTGATGATCTTAATCCAATTCTCAGTCGGAAGATACCAACGGAGAGGACCCCTATCGGTAGTGTGGCATATCGGAAGTCGGAACATTAATTTGGAATTCCTTCAGAGCTTGCAATGATAACTCAACAACAGTATTTTGAAAACCGGACCGGACCGACCGGTTCAACCGGGAATCGTTGTCTAGTCCGATTCAATCTAAACTGGTTGAACGACTACTAGTGAACCGGCCAGAACCGCTAAACCGTTCGAACCGGATCTGCTGAAAACCGGAAAAAACCGGGAAAAACCGAAAATTTTGTTTTTTAAATTAAACCAAACAACGTCGTTTGTTAAACGAGCCAAGTCAAACTCGAGTATTGCTGAGCTCGACTCGAATTTGAAAACTTTAAAAGTAAGCTCAACCCGACTCAAACTCACAAGTTAAAAATTATCAAGTTCAACTCAAACTCGAAATATAATATTGAAACTTGAACTCAAAAAAGTTTAAACTCAAAAAAAAATTAGAAGCTCGATTGAAGCCTAAAATTCGAGCTTAATTGAAGTGAAAGAATAGTTCACTCAATGCTCACCAAAAGGCTCTATGATTTTGAATGTCAAATTACCTGTATTATTTATAGAAGTTAGTTGTGATGCGCTTCTATGTTTCTTAGCAATGTGAGATTTTTTGTTCTCATATTTTACTCTTAGACTTTTGGATGCTCTTCTATGTTTATTAGCCATGAGATTGTTTTTTTTAAAAAATTAAGCCAAACAATGTCATTTTGTTATGATTTTTTTAGCCCCAAATTTATTTTTTAATTATAGTTATATAATTATATTTATTATTTAATATGTTTACCTTAAATATTATGTTGTAGTTAATTTGAATCATTTTGTTTCACTTGATTTTATGGTTTTAACTTATATATGTTATGACTTGCTTTGAATATGACTTGTGATATAAAAAAATTATTTTTTATTAAATATTTTTGGTATTTTTATTTAATTTTTTAAATAATTATGACGTCGTCGGTTCTTCCGACCGGTTGAACCAGTGAACCGATAGCATGACCGATTCGTTAACCATCCGGTTCTGAAAACCATGCTCAACAAGATGACGACTACGATCTAGAATACTCCCACCATCTTCAACGGGGTTATCAAATACTTTGGCATTCTGGACAACCATAACCAAAGAGTAAATCTCAATTATCACGAGAATCATTGACGGATGCAAAGCATCATGAGGTGGGCACGTATCAACCCTGAAATATTACTGTATTAGATTATGGGTGTTTACCCTAGAATCCGAGTTTTTTTATATTAGATATTCATTTTACTATAGATGTCTATCCTAAAATTTTACTTATACTTATCCTATATGAAAAATTTCAATAATTAATACGTGTGTTCACCTTAAAAAATATTTCTAAATTCGCAACTTACCCAAATTAGCAAATTTTAACTTGATGTAATATTAGCAACCATCCACTCACAAGATCTAAGAAGAAAAAACCAATTATTTTATCAGGATGAATCAAGTCACTCCACACATGAAAGGCGGGGGGGGGGGGGGGGGGCATACGCGAAGCACGTGGTTTATATCTTCTACAATCTGTATTGATATTTAATTTATTTTAATTTATTTATATCGAATTGTCACAAATTCTCGATTTTGTATAAACATTTTATAACTATTATGAATGTCATTATTTTTGGTATATCATATTATTTTTGAATTTATGATGGAAAAGAGAAAAATAATATTTTACATTTTTTGGATAATTCAAAATTTATTACCAAAATAGCATCGTTTTGCTACAACCAATCAATTAATCAATCAAAGAAAAGAAAACTATGAACTGCCTAGAACAAAAAACAATGATTGGTTAGACTATACCCCAAGCATTACAAAGGCTAAAGTTAATACTATCAAGTCTATTAATGGATTTGCCCCTAAGTCGAATAGCAACAACATCAATGATATCTTTGAGCAAGGTTTCGACAGTTCTTCGATGTCCAAGGAAAATTCTGCAATTTCGTTCTTGCCACAATGTGTAGATGAAATCAGACCATGAAAGCTTCAAAATGATGGTAATAAGAGACTTCCCTTTCCAAGATAAACTTGCCCAAGCAATCATTTCACCCCAAGACAAGTTATTGAAATTCATTCCATTAAGAAGCAAAATAGAGGTCCATAGGTCAACTGCCAAAGAACAATGGGAGAAGAGGTGATCCCGTGACTCTTGGAAGGTGTTGCAGTTGACATAAATACCATCAGAGCAAATCCCCATTCTTAGGAGTCGATCTCTAGTAGGTAACATGTCGAGAAGAGCCATCCAGGCAATCGTGCTATGCTTAGGAATATGCATTGGAAACCAAATTAGCCTATGCCAAGAGACCTTTTGCTTTTGCAGTCGAGTCATATCCCAAATATCTTTAATCTGTAAATGACCATCAATGAAGAGAGGATAAGCAGCAGTCCTCAATTTAAGAATTCTTTTGATGCTCTAACTTACATTTGCACCAGCTAGAAATTGTCGGAAATCAAATATTTTACATTTGATGGTTGTTTCAACGACCATAATATGACATTTTAGACCGATCATGTTATAGATCAAATTTGGATGTTATAGTTTATAAATATACCAAGGTGAGTAGGAGTTATATGAAATATGTGAAATTGTTCATCATTATACCGATGTAAGTATGATTATGTTATACTTGTATAAATTTTAGGAAATTTAGATATATGTATAAAGTCATTTTTGTCAATTTTTCTTAGATAGTATTGATACTATTAGAAAAGATATTGATACTAAATTATTACAATTGTTAAACTCAATTTCAGAATGCTATTTCGATATAGATTTTATATAGAATGTATCCATACTCATAGAGTATCGATATTTAGTGGAGTATCGATATTAGATTTATGCACCGTTGAAAAATATTGATTTTTATACAAAGGGTTCAAAAATGCCCTTAAGGTTTTGACATCATTATAATTTGTTCATAAAACTTTTATACCGATACTAGGCATTCCATTTTTTAGCGTAAACTATGCAAATGGTCACTATTGTTTAAGTTTTTTGTTTTTTCCATTGAAGTTTTAAAAGTAATAATTTTGTCACTAACGTTATCATATTGTAATAAACTGGTCACTCGACGTTAACCGCCGTTAACGTGAGTAACGAAAAGCTGAGCTGGACCGTTAATTACTTATCTGGCCCGTTGACTGGTCATCTCTTCAACTTTAAATAAAAACTCAAAGTGAAGCCATCGTCTCCCCTACTTCTGTGACAGCCACACTCAAGGGCAGTTCAATGCCATTTTCCCCGTGCCTCTGTGAGCGCCTCGTTGTTTTTGAGCCTAGAAATGTCGGGGTTATGAACCAAAGACAGTATGCTCCGAAAATCAGTGTCAGGTCTGAATTCAGCATCGATAATGGTCACATATTCATAGTGTTTCACGTTACACTTATCCTGTTGCTCGCCCATATTTGGCACTCTTGCTCCACTAGTATTTGCTTTCAAGAATCCAGCTATGTTAAATGCATTTCATAGCTAAAACAATGGTGATCTGTTGGGGAGTTGTAGGATTGGTCGAATCATCGAGCAGTTGATGATGAGACGATCTGTCGGCTATAAAAATCCATAGGTCGTTCCAGTCGAGATTTTGTAATCTTGTTTCGATTCAAACAAGCACATCATCATCATCAGAAGTAACCCAAAAAAGCAGAAAGAACATTGGAGGGGAAGATGGTGAGAGACCGACCTCTTTTTCATTGAACATTGGGATTTGGACCTAGACAACAATAAAATTTAAGCTGTCGAGTACATCATCGTCTTGGACGGGCTTGTATCATTCCTCCCATTTTCTCTAGAAGACCTTGACGAGGATGGTGACGATACCCATGTAAACATGCTCCATGAAGAGCATGAGCGGCACTTGAATATTCAAAATCGAAGGGAAATTTCAGTCATCATCCCCGTGATGATTAAAGCAGTGATGGGCTCGTATCTGTAACGTTCCTCCGATTTCTCCTCTTTTTCTAATGAATATGCAAACCTTGTAGCAAATACAATTGATTGAAGCTTCCCAAACTTTATCTCCAAGAGCAGCAAATTTCATTCAGAATCAGGGAAGAGCACTAAGCTCAGCTACGTGCATGAACGTGAATCATAAACCGATTTTTTTTCCAGAAGAGCTTGACGAGGATGATGACAATACCTATGCAAACGAGTTTGGATGGGCCCATGATGTCGTCTCGACACACTTGAAATGATTTTGGAATTAACAGCTTGGGTGAGATTTGAACCACCTTTACTTTCTACTTCACAAAAGAGAGGGGAACAAGGCTTGAAAATGATTTTTTTCACTGTTTCTACTTAACAATGTGAAGAGAAATTTGGTTTTTGTTTTCCATTTATAAACAGAGATGAAAACTTGAGAAAAATAATGGAGAATAATCACTTGACAACCCTTCTCTTTAGCTCTCTCTTATAAAGGAAATGTGACGATGCAAGAGTGTGTGAGGTAGAACAGAGGGGAATGAATAACATGGAGAGAGAAGTTTGGGTGTTTTTACAGTCAATCTTTGGTCCAGTGAGGGGAATAAATAACAAAGAGGCATGAGGGGAAAAAGAAAGTGAACTGTTCAAAGAGGGTGCCTGTCACAGAAGGTGGAGGGACGATGGAGCTGAGGGTTGTGGTTACTCTATTTTGGGTTTATTTAAAGTTGCAGATATGATCGGTCAAAGGACCAGGTAAACAATTAACGATCCAACTCAGCTTTACGTTGTTATTCAGTTGACGACTGTTAACATCGAGTGACCAATAAATTAAGTATGTCTTGTCTACTTTCACAAGAGTCTCCTTTTAAATGGAGAAGACACCACTAATTTTCTTATTTTTGTGACACGATTTGGCATGTGATAATTTAAAATGGAAGGAATGGCTTTAAGACTATCATTCAAACAAATCAAAGGGACGCTAAATTCAAACCCCCACCTACCTATACTCAATCATTTCCATATTCACGCAATAAAACGCCAGAAAACCGACAGACCGGTCGATATCATTAACTTCTTCATTAATACTTTACCAGCATCATGTAGTTCATCTTCATACTAAAAGAGTCGGCAAAATTTCATATTGTTCCGTGCACCATTGTGTTCGTCTTCAACATGGTTAGTTTAATCACCATTTTCGGGTTGCTAGGGAACATTACAACCGGTCTGGTTTACCTTGCTCCAGCGTAAGCTTTTTCTTTTCTTTCTGGTCTCATTTTTTTCTTTTACATATTTATTGTACCTCCGGAGATAATCTCCAAAAACTATCAATCCTTCATCCATAAAAAAATTTGGATTAAAAATGGATGAACCATCAACGATCGATAAGATCTGTTTGTTTCCATCAACAATGTTGACCATGAGTTGTTTTGATGCCATTTTCTAGGAATACGTTCTGGTACATCGTACGACGTCGATCGACCGAGGAATTCGACTGTCTTCCGTACGTCGTCAAGCTCTTGAACGGATACATGTGGGTTTATTATGGAGTTGTGAAGCCGGACAGTATACTTGTGGCCACCATTAATGGATTTGGTTCGGTCCTTGAGCTTATATACGTGACCATATTCATCATCTTTGCGCCTCCTAGAATGAGAGTAAGTTGTGATTCACCATTAATGGGTTTTGTTTTCTGATTATAATAATCGTGGTCGTGTTTGTTTGGGAATGTGGTAAAAAATTTCAGGCAATAACTGCGATGCTTTTCGTGGTGTTCCCAATAGGAGCCGTCTTGGTTACTCAGATGTCATGTAATAGAGAAATGCAAATCAATGTCTCAGGATTCTTGTCTTTGCTTTTCTGTGTTGCAACTTATGGTTCTCTCTATCATGGTAACTTCTAAAATCGGTTTTTTTCCTTCCGTTGCACCGGACCGTAAATGAAATGAGACAGATGGGAGCTACTTAAGATCAATTCAGTCAAAACTCGATAAATATTCGACTCGAGCTCAAGCATGACTCGATTTCTTAACGAACCAAAACAAGCTACTTGATACTCACTCGAAAAGCTCGCGAACAACTCGAAAATATAATATATTAACATTTTATTTTAAAAAAGTTATTAATAATATCAACATTTATGTGGGATTTTTTAAATGCAGAATAAAGTTTCATGTATTAAGGTTTATTCGAGTTGAGCTTGAGGCTTCAATCAAATTAAGTTTAAGATTTTTTCCATTTTGAGATTTTACGATATTCTATTAATGGTTTCAAGTTAAGTTCGAGCTTAAAAATTTTAGGTTCACAAGTTTTCGAGTCTAGTGTACTCCATTTTAAAGTTTTTGCGTATAGAGAGAGAGAGAGAGGGAGAGAGTGGGGTTGATAACTATAATAAGAAATGAATAAAACTAGAGGTATACAATTACATTAGGGACATGTTTATGTGATTCAATATTTAGGGACGAAACAATAATCAAATATTTAAAGGGATGAAGATTTAAAAAATATTTAAATTCAAAAATTAAGATAAATAAATGTATTATTAAATTAATATTTAAACTAACAATAATCTAAAATACTGTTTTATAGAAGAAGAAAAATTATCCTAATAATAATTAGGATAAATTACGTATTTAGTACTTAAACTATCAATTTTGATCTATTTTAGTAAATAAACTTTTAATTTTTTTCAAAATCATACATAACGTTTAGTTTTTGTTTCATTTTAGTACTAAACCGTTAAAAACTTAATGTGTTTAGTGCCTAAACTAATTCAGTCTGTTTAATACATAAACTTCCAATTTTTTTAAAACTTAAAGCTAAGTTTTAATGAGTACTAAAATGAAACAAAAACTAAACGTTAGGTATGATTTTGGGGAAAAAATGAAAGTTTGGATACTAAAACAGACTGAACTTATACTTTATGTATTAAACTTGTAGTTTACCCTAATAATTATAATTTGTATGTGTTATGAAATGCAGAAAACTGTGGTGACAACAAAGAGCGTGGAGTACATGCCTTTCCTCCTCTCTTTGATCCTCTTCATCAATGGACTTGTATGGACTGTTTATGCAGTGCTCACTAATGACTGGTTTATTGGGGTGAGTTGCCACCCGCATTAATCTATTTATTGGACTCAGTTCCATCTATTCCTATTTTTGATTTCATATCATACATTATAAATTTTAGCCCAATATGATATATATAGGGTAAAGTATACAAATAATCCATCGATTATAGGACGTTGCTATGTTAAGTCATTCGATTATTGAAAGTTACAAAATGGTTATTCAATTGTAGGGTGATGTTTTGTTGAGTCCCCCTACTATCAAAAGTTACAAAATAATCTCTCGACTATTCATATATTTCAAACTCGTCATTTTCTTTAAAAGATGGCAGTCGCTTGAGCTAGATGTTAATATGTTGACTATGATATGATTTAATCTTATCCCATAATTGTCTGAACTGTATTTTATGGATTGATTTTTTGTTTATATTATGTCGTCAAGCCAACGCTTGAAAGCAATGACAGTGCTAGTAGACATCATTAAAATATACTTTTATCATATCTCAGTCAGTAGGTTAACGTCCAACTTAGACGATCGTCGATTTTTTAATGAAAAAGTACGAACTTGGAACATGTGAATAGTCAAATGATAATTTTGTAATATTTAATAGTCAGGGACTCAACAAATAATGTTATATTTTCACTCATCCAACGGTCCTAAATGTGTAAAGCTAAAAGTCTATACTAGGTGTAAGTAGATCCTAACACACACATATGACGTTTCCGAATAGTCGGTGATTTAAAGGTAGTATATGTTCATAATTTTTTCAATCAATTGATAATGCATACACACTCTGCAGAGCAGTTACTCGAACTTAAAATCAATGGGAAGAAAACATGAACTCATATCTCACATTCAAGTATTGAGAAATATAAGTATACCTAATGAATGTAATTGGGTTCTTTTCAGATACCGAATGGGAGTGGGTTTGTTCTTGGAACAGCTCAGATGGTGCTTTATGCAATGTACTGGAAACCTAACTATCAAAGACAACATGCGAGCATGTTGATGATGGATGCCAACATGAGAGCCTCATGCCAGATTCTGGTCCACCATAGGGAAGGGGGGGGATTAAGAGCAGGTTGTTTAGAACATTTTCAAAATAATATCAAATCATCAGTCATTGGGCCCTATAAAATCTCCGATTGTTCTATTTGATCTTCTGAGTTCGAACCTGACCTTCGTTTCATTTGTACCAAGTATAATTTAGTCCATCAATCTCAATTGGTGCCCAAAACGAGCCATTATATCTAGGTGTGAGCGCTCAGTCTAGTCAAGTCGAGTAAAAAAATCAAATTATTCTAGTTGACGAGTCTTTTTATAATTCAGATTTAATTTGAAACTTTTCGAGTCGAGTTATCGAGTTCCTGTTTAATTGTTAATATTTATAATATTATGATAACATTTGATTCCGAGTTAAATGATTTTTCTATAACTATACGCAATACATATATATTTTCTTCATATTTTTTTATATGTGATATATATATTTATCATACATAGTTGAGAGACTCGACTCAAACTTAAAAATCAATCTACTAATACGAAAAAGATTCAATTATTCGAATTATTATTCAAATTATTCAAGTTCTTAACTTTTATTGATGACGATCGATAGTAACTAGCACAGTAATTAAAATATAGGTAGATAGAAAAAAGGAAAATTATGTTTTGTATTGAATTTAAAACGACATCGTTTTAGGATAAGTTTAACTTTTTTAAATAATGCTATTTTGATATCGTTTGTTATGTTATAGTATTATTAACTATTAAATAATAAAGTGATTAAAATAAAAGAAATTCAAAATTTCAGTAATTAATTTTTTTTTATTTTAATATTATATAATAAGGATGAGAAGATAATGAATGATATAATATAATTTATCTGATTCAACCCACGGAACGGATATTTTCAAAGGCTTAATCGGCTATCTTGTGTTGAAGGAAACATTTAGTTTCGACAGTTTCATGGCAATCTGATTCCATTTTCTGGTTCCAAAATCCACATCTTGTTAACATTGGAATCATAAAAAAAACAGAGGGAGAGAGAGAATCAGAGGAAAAATGGGTTCTTTCATAATCCAAAGATTCGACTTTTCATCAAATCTCATCGTCCTTTTCCTCCTCGTATCACAATCTTTCGTCTTCAAACAATCGGCCATGAAAACAATAAGCCAACAGCCTATGAAGTTCTCAAAGACTTCGACTTTCCCATCGGCCTTCTTCCAAAAGGCGTGATCGGCTACGGTTTCGACTCGTCATCGGGAAAATTCTCAGCTTTTCTCAATGGTAGCTGTAGTTTCTCTCTCGAAGGATCTTACCGATTGAAATACAAGAATACCATCAAAGGGTATCTGTCAAAGGGAAGAATTTCAAGCTTGGATGGTGTCAGCGTGAAGCTCTGGTTCATGTGGGTCAACATCGTTGAGGTCTCGAGGAGAGGCGATGATCTCGAGTTTCTGTAGGATTGCTGGAGTTATTTGAGTCCTGTTTAATTGTTAATATTTATAATATTATGGTAACATTTGATTCCGAGTTAAATGGTTTTTTTATAACTATACGCAATACATATATTTTTCTTCATATTTTTTTACATGTGATATATATATTTATCATACATAGTGAGAGACTCGACTCAAACTTAAAAATCAATCTACTAATTACGAAAAAGATTCAATTATCGAATTATTATTCAAATTATTCAAGTCTTAACTTTTATTGATGACGATCGATAGTAACTAGCACAGTAATAAAATATAGGTAGATAGAGAAAAAAGGAAAATTATGTTTTGTATTGAATTTAAAACGACATCGTTTAGGATAAGTTTAACTTTTTTAAATAATGCTATTTTGATATCGTTTGTTATGTTATAGTATTATTAACTATTAAATAATAAAGTGATTAAAATAAAAGAAATTCAAAATTTCAGTAATTAATTTTTTTTTTAATTTTAATAATTATATAATAAGGATGAGAAGATAATTGAATGATATAATATATAATTTATCTGATTCACCCACGGAACGGATATTTCAAAAGGCTTAATCGGCTATCTTGTTGTTGAAGGAAACATTTAGTTTCGACAGTTTCATGGCAATCTGATTCCATTTTCTGGTTCCAAAATCCACATCTTGTTAACATTGGAATAAAAAAAAAACAGAGGGAGAGAGAGAATCAGAGGAAAAATGGGTTCTTTCATAATCCAAAGATTCGACTTTTCATCAAATCTCATCGTCCTTTCCTCCTCGTATCACAATCTTTCGTCTTACAAACAATCGGCCATGAAACAATAAGCCAACAGCCTATGAAGTTCTCAAAGACTTCGACTTTCCCATCGGCCTTCTTCCAAAAGGCGTGATCGGCTACGGTTTCGACTCGTCATCGGGAAAATTCTCAGCTTTCTCAATGGTAGCTGTAGTTTCTCTCTCGAAGGATCTTACCGATTGAAATACAAGAATACCATCAAAGGGTATCTGTCAAAGGGAAGAATTTCAAGCTTGGATGGTGTCAGCGTGAAGCTCTGGTTCATGTGGGTCAACATCGTTGAGGTCTCGAGGAGAGGCGATGATCTCGAGTTTTCTGTAGGGATTGCTGGTGCTGATTTTCCTGTGTGATAATTTTGAAGAATGTCCTCAATGTGGATGTGGGGTGAATTGCAATGGTGTTGTTAATCAGCAGCGACGAGTAAGAAAATCTGGTGGAAAATCACTTGTTTCTTCTTATTAGAGGGAATCTTGATGTGTATTTGGAGTCTTCGTTGAATTTAGATGTAGATCAATGGATTTGTATTGGTCGGATACATTGCTTGCTTATAGATTTTCTGATATGGTTGAAATGTGGATAATGCATGCATTTTGCCAGATCCTTGAACTATCTGTTCATAATTTTAGTCTGATTAGCAAATGTCCTTTTGCATTCGTTGAGAGCTTGATGTGGACACAAGTTTCTTCATGTTCTTCATTTTTAGATCTAGGATGCAATGTGATTCGATCGTCTTAGTACATAATTCCATTGCTGATGCAACAATGATTGGTCTCTTTGGACAATGCAGGCTTGCACTATGTGGTTATACATATTAAAGTCATGGAGTGTGGAACAAGTTTTTGTTCGGTGGTAGTTTCTACATGTTCTTCCCCTTTAGCATTAGGATTCAATTCGATCGTGTTAGTACATAACTCCATTGCTGATGCAACAGTGATTGGTCTCTTTGGACGATGCAGGCTGCACTATGTGTTTATACATATTAAAGTCATGGAGTGTGGAACAAGTTTTTGTTCTGTGGTAGTTTGTATTGACTAGATATTAGGTTCTGGTTCTGGTGTTTTTCTTTCTTTCTCGGAGATTCGGGATCGAAAAGGAATAAGGGCCCATTAGTTTCCGCGACTAGTGAATAATTTTGAAATGAACATTGAAAGTATGCCCTGTCTTTTTCATCTTGGACAGATCTTTTGTCCTGTTTTCTCTCTTAGCCTAGTTGAAAGGGGGAAAGCAACTCAATTGCTAACCTTACTAGCAAGGCTACAACATGTATGACTTTGTGGCCAGACATCAGTCTCTTCCTCACAACGTCTAGTTGTTTACGTCGTTATCGGAGCATTTTGAGAACTCGGTTGTTTCAACATCATGCATAACACCTTGTTAGAAAAGTAAACAAAGTTCATCTCATTCGACATGCATGTAGGTCTCTTGGTACCGATAACCTATTACGGCGAACAAGAGGCCTTAACCACTGCCGCCTTACGCTGTCGGACTTTACGTTTTCAGAGTGCCCCCAAAATCTCCGGATTACCGGATATTCGGGATCATTATTATTTTTTTTCCAAGATTGAAAATGACTTCCATTTGCCTCACCGAGTACAAGTAGTTTGCCCTCAATGTAACCCAAAGTTAGGTCTTGCTGCCTTTCTAGATGAAAGTGACTTTTCAGTTTTAGTTTCCTGCACTTTGACTAATATGTTGGAATCTATAAACGCCACCGTTTCAGTCATTCTTTTGTCTTTTTCCATTGTTTCAACATCAAATGTGTATTATTTGCTTTGGAATGTTGTACGTGAAAGACTTTTTATATGGAATGGAATCAGCTTTAGGTGGATTTAAAGATTATTTTGTAATTTTTAATAGTCGAGTCGAGTGATTTAATAAAGAAATACTCTATAATTAGGGGATTATTTGTATATTTTATCCAAATTTTAAACTTTTTTTAGTCTGTAAAGTACATACCCAACTATTAGGGGAGCAGCTGAGCGGGTCCTCATTTTTTTATCTTTATAATTAAGTCTTTAATTTTTTTAAATCTTATTTTTTTACTTTTATAATTGAGGTCATAATATTATTCAATCTTACTTTTTTTATTTATAATTGAAGTCTCTAATCCTTTTCAATCCTCTTTTTACCTTTATAATTGAGCTCTCTAATTTTGTAATCTCACTTTTAACTTTATAATTGAGGCTTTCAAGTTTTTCCAATCTAACTTTCTACCTTTTCAATTGAGGCCCCTAAGTTTTTTCAATCTTAATATCTAACTTTATAATTGAGGCTCCTAATTTTTTAATCTCACTTTTTTAACTTTATAATTGAGGCCCTTAAGTTTTTTTAATCTCACTTTCTAGCTTTCTAATTGAGGCCCCTAAGTTTTTCGATATCAATTATACCTTTATAATTGAGGCTCCTATTTTTTTCAATCTCGATTTATAACTTTATTAAGGCCTCTAATTTTTTACAATTTCATAAAATTCTCAATTTCTCATCCCTTTCTCCATCTCTCTCGTTAATTCATTAATTTTGAATTAAATCTAATCATATTTGTCTCTTTTTTTACAAATCTTATTTTTCAATTTACCAAATATTCTTTAATTTTTAGTCTTTTCCAATCTCAATCTGACGATAACATAATATCTTATTCTTTATTTTTAAATTTATTAATCAGAATAAAGCTAATATCCTAATTTATTCCCACATTCGATTTTTTAATTGTATTTAAGGTGTTTTCTTA